CATCTGTCGCTGGACTTTGTCCTCAACGTCAGCCGGCAGGAGTGGTCCCATCAAAGACGTTTGTGTTTTATTGATTATGCCAAGGCATTCGACTTTGTGGATCGTAACCAACTATGCATAATCTTGAGAAGAATGGGAATTACAGAACACTTCATTGTCCTCATGCAGAACTTGTACATGGATCAAGAGGCAGTTGGACAAACAGGATTAGGGAATGGTGCATGGTTTAATATCGAGAAAGTTATGCATCAGGGTTAGATTCTCACTATAATTGTTCAATCCATATGCTGAGAACATCACCAGAGAAGCGGGATTCTATGAAGAAGAATGTGACATCAGCATTGGCAGGTTTATAAACAACCTGAGTTATGTAGATGACACAGTCCTGCTTGCTTAAAGTGAGACCTGAAGATCAGCCTTCAGCACGGGTTACAAGTCAGTGTGAAGACCACCAAGATCCTTACAACTGGACTAATAGGTAGCATCATAATAAATGGAGAAACAGTAAAGTTGCCAAAGATTTAGTTTGGCCTTCAACCAATGCAGTGTTCAAGAGCTCAAACAACGCATTGCATGGTGTAAATGTTCTGCAAGAAACTTCTTTAGAGTGTTGAAAAGCATAGAGGTTACTTTGAAGACTAAGGTACAACTGATCCAAGCATGATATTTTCAGTTGTCTTATATGCATGTGAAAGTTGGACACTGAATAAGGAAGGCCAAAAAAGAATTAATGTGTTTGAATTATGCTGCTGATGAAGAAGATTAAAAGTACCATGGACTGCCCAAAGGACAAACAGATGTGTCTTGGAAGAAGTACAGCAAGAATGGTCCTTAGAGGTAAGGATGGTGATGTTTGTCTCATGTTCTTTGGATATATTAGCAGCAGAGATCAGTCCCTAGAAAAGACATCAGGACATCATATTTGGTAAAAAGAGGAAGGCCCTTGACCAGATGGATTGGCAAAGTGGTTACAACGATGGGTTCAACCATGAGAACAATTGTGAGGATGGCACAGGACCGTGTTTTGCCCTGTTGTTCTTGGTGTCACCAGCTCAATGGCACCTAACAATAATCCACATTTTCCAGCAGTGTGATCATAGGCAAATTGTTGTCATAGTCGGTTACAGCGAGTCAGTTCTGCCTCATAGTGACGCTATATCCAGCAGAAAGCAACACTGCCTGCTCCTGTGCCATCCTCCCCATGTCTTACGTTTGAGCCCATTGTTGAAGCCCTGGTGTCAGTCCACCTTGTCAAAGGCCTTCTTCTTCTTTGCTGCTTCTTCTGAGCAAAGTGCTCAATTTAATCACTCAAATTAATCCTCAATTTCCTCTTCAATAAAATGGACATAAAACCCACCTTAAAGGAACCCTGGGAACTTCTGGGCCTGGAGTTGGGCCATTAACCACAAGGTCACCAGCAGCTCTGCAAGAAAGATGGCTTTCCACTCCTGTGAAGATTTATAGCCTCTGAAACCCAGTGCCAGTTCAACTCTGTCCCTTAGGGTCGCTATGAACCCCTCCCTTACAGAGTTGTCTGGAGGACAGAATGAAGTAGTAGATGAAAGTGCTTACTTAGCACAGAACCTGGTAATGACAGGTGCTCAATAGATGTTTACTTTTATTTAATAAAAATTTAATGTATAAGGTAGTGTGTCAGCCACTCTTCTAGGTGTTATTTTTTTTTAAATAATGAAACCCTATAATAATCCTCTGTGGTAAATACTATTATTATCCTCACCTTACAGATTTTAAAAACTGGGGTAGAGCAATCTTAAAAGCTAGCAAAAGGCAAAGATGGGGTTAGAATTAGGTTTGTTCCCAGAACTAAAGTCCCAGGCTAAACTGCTTCTCTCCTACATTGATTTATGTGGTACCACTGGAGATCAGCCCCCTAGGGGAAAAACAGCTCTTCCTCGCTCCCTCTTTGCTTTCCCAGGGCTCAACTTCCGCAGAAATGAAGGGCTCATGCCGCCTAAAGCGCTTTCCAGCGCTGGCAGTGTGTTCCTAAACTGCCCGCGCGGAAACCGCACCAGGAGGCCACGCCCCTCCTCCGGGCTCCGCCCCCGTACGCCAACGGCACGCCTGCCACGCTACTTACACTGGCCCCGCCCCTTGTCCGAGGCTGTGGTGGAGGATGAACAGACGGCTTGAGGGCTTCCACGTACACACTCCAACGCCTCCCCCCTCCCCTACAGAGAGCACATCCGGGTCAAGGAAGCAGGTGCCTCACGCCCCGCCCCCTTTCCAGAAACACTCGTCCCCACTTCCGGCCGCCTCGGACCCTTTCCGCTTGCTCTCTGCCGGCTTTATCTTCGCGGTTCTAGTGGTTCCCGGCCCTCTACCCGGACCCCCTGCACGACCCTCCTCCCATCCCGGTAGCTCTCTCTTCATCCCAGTCTCCTGGGGACGCGGAGCGGCTCTGCCCATTCTGCGGTGCGTTCTCTGCAGGGAGGCCCAGACTCAGGCCTGTCGCGCGCGGTGACTGCCGCGCATACCTGACCCCGCGTCTCCCAGCAGCTTCGTGGAGGCCGCCGCCGCCGCCGCCGCCTCGGGATGTCGGGGTTAGGGTCCGCGCACCGCTTGGCGGTCGCCGCGGGCCGTTGGTGGGGCTGCAGACTGCTAGCGTTGCTGCTGCTGGTTCCGGGGCCCGGCGGAGCCTCTGAGATCACCTTCGAACTGCCCGACAACGCCAAGCAGTGCTTCTACGAGGACATCACACAGGGCACCAAGTGCACCCTCGAGTTCCAGGTACCACGGGCTTTCGGGCTAGATCTGCAGCCTGCGGGCTAACTCACCTGATGGTTTTCCCTCTTCTTTGGCAGGTTCAAGAAACACCTCTAGGGAGCGAATAGTAACAGGATTCTTGTTTTTCCCCTGTTCTAAACATGTAAGGCCGAGTACTACGATATATTAATCCCAGAAATGCTTCCCCTAGCTGTGACATTTCTTATGTTCTCAGATAACCTTTATTGGCAAGCCCATCGAACTACCTTTAAAAGATTCTGCTTTGAAAAAGTTTCACCTGCTCTGTGGTGCCCAATGTCGACTTCCCACACCTGACCCACACCTCCATCTGAATCAGCTTTAACTTAATGACAGCCCTAACTCCGCTGCTTGATAGTTTTTGCATTGAGTTTAGGATTATTGGTTAATAATCTCTCCGAAATGGGTGGACTCCCACATCAGAATGACCAACTGCTGTAAAACTGTCATGATGAATGAGAGGCCCTTTTGGCCCTAGAGATTCTGTGGAAGGGAAACCTTATGTAACAGAATATAGTTTCTTAAATTATCTAGAGAAAGCTTTACTCATCTCTATTTGTTGGAAAACCCTTGTGACACATTTCAGAAGCTACTGAGTGCTAGGTACTGGTGCTAGAGCACTGAGCACAGCAGATAAGGTGGCTGCCATAATTCTTGATTCTCCTCCCGCTCCATCCGTTTCTTAATTAGTATTTGCTCATTCATTGAAACTGCTTTGAGAGCAGAAAATTGATATGTGACCTGGGCTTAGGAATCCATGAAGACTTCCTTCAAGAAGTGGTTTTAAGCTGCACTTTGAAGGATGGGTTATAAATACTTTGGCAAGGGGCAAGAAAGAATGGCCTTTGCAAAGACCCTATAGCAAGAATGAACATGGAATGTGAGGTGCTTAGAGAGATCCTGCCATAAGGTTGGAGAATAAGGAGCCAGGTGGAAGGTGAGGACTGGAAGTCAGCAGGGATTTTTATTCCTGATCTGATCAGAGTATTTCAATAAGTAAGTTCTGTGGCACCATGCTGCAGAGTGGAGGTAGGAGACTAGTTGGGCTGGTGTGATCTAGGCAAGAAATAAATTATAGTAGCCCAAACTAAAATGTTAGCAAAGGGAAAGGAGAAAATGAAATGATTGAGGGGAGTTTAGTAGGAACTGTAAACAGATAATGGTGACCATTTGCTTACACTACAGGCTCTATACCATAGGTTCCCAACTTATTGGGCCTACTGTCCTGTTTTCAGAAAAAACATTACTCAGCGCCGTGCCCTGTTGGCAATTAAAAACTTTCGTACTGTAGTCCATAATCCAGGATAAAGTGCAGGTATCTTGCTTTTGCAGTCCCACTGGTTAGTTCTGTGTGCCCCCACTCCCCATTCTGTATTGCCCACTTTGGGAAACACTGCTCTATAATATGTGAAAGAGGGAAAGTTAAGGATGACCTCCAGCTTTCTAGTCAATTCCAACTGAGTCAAGAGGGAGTAGAACTGCCCCATAGGGTTCCCAAGGTGTAGAACTGAATGAAGCACATTGCACATCTTTCTTCTCCGGAGTGGTTGGTGGGTTAGGGTTAGCCACAGAACATTTAGGCACAGTACCACCAAGGCTCCATCCAATGTGAATTGAGACAATATAATGTTAATTGCAGTGTCATATATTGACAATGCAACAATAAAGGTGCACAGCCAGTATAGTGTTCTCAGGGACAGTAAGGATTGTCAGAGAAATTTTAAATGAAAAACAGATGTTGGAGCTGCATTTGGAAGGCGGAATAGACATTGCACTCTACTCTGGAGGAGCTTTCTGAAAACTCACTGGATACCATGTAGCTTTTACAGAAGATCTACATTCAAGTCTGTTTTCTCGCTAACTGAAAGAAAAACGAAGAGATTTTTAACTTTTATGATAAAAGATAAAAGCAAAACTAGCAGCGAGTGCTTGTTTTCGCAGCCAGTGTTTGAAGAGATGATGCTTTGGGGGACAGCTAAGTTACTTGGCATACATAGTCCAGAGACAGCGTTCCACATCCCACTTGGATAAGCTTGAGTGAGGTCTTAAACCCTTCAAGCAGTCATCGTGGAGGCCACTTGGTCTGCCCCCAATGGAGTAAAGAAGAGTGAAGAATAGCAAAGACTCAGAAAACAATCCAACGTACTGTTGGACCCTAAGACCAGACAAACTAGATAGTGCTCACCTACCACAACCCAGGCCTCTGATTGAGATCACAGGAGAAGGCCTTAGATAGCATGGCAGAAAAATGTACAAAATTCAAAATCATAAAAAATCCAAACTTAACCGTTCTTGATAGAGACTGGCAGAACTGCTTAGACCAGCAGTTCTCAACCTGTGGGGTGCGACCCCTTTGGGGGTTGAGTGACCCTTTCACAGGGGTCACCCTATTCATAACAGTATTAAAATTACAGTTATGAAGTAGCAATGAAAATGATTTTATGGTTGGGGGTTCACCACAACATGAGGAACTGTATTAAAGGGTTGCGACATTAAGGAAGGTTGAGAACCACTGCCTTAGACTGTGGCCCTTAGACACACTTCAAGCCTGGACTGAACCCATCCTGGAGTTCATCTTTCAGCCAAACAATAGGCAGAACTATAAAGTGAACAATAACACGAGGAACATAATCCTCAGAACCATCAACCATCCGAGACCAAACAGGCAGCATCATCCCAAAAAACAGGTTCAGAAGGTGAGAAGAGGCAAAAAAGGATGAATGGAAACCCTGGGAAGAAGTAAAAAGAGTGATGTTATGTTAAGGGGATTGCTACTCCAGGGAGGAAGTGGAAAGTGTTCTGTAAATTCTTTAATGGAAAATTTAATGTACTCTGCAAACTTGCATCCAAACCACAATTAAAAAGTAGTAAATAGCTTAGGTTGCAAATTTTCGTGCACACATATTCACTTAAAGGAGGCTGCCTGCACTCACCCTTAGAATCACCCCATACAGTGAGAATAGTGTCCCTGAGCTCCCACCATGGGAACTACTCGGCATCATGCCACCATAGGTTTGAACATGTCTGTGAACATTTTATGTTAGTGAAGTTTTAGGTTTTATGTGTTACTTAGTTTGGTTTGGTGGAGTTAATTTTGGGGTCTGGGAAGTCTCAATTTTCCCCCCATATGAATGAATGCTAATTGTTTCTTTGTTTTAATACATTTCACTTTGTGAAAGGTTTTATAGGAATGCTCTACTTTCGGACAGCAGAGGAAATCAGTCTTATATTTTCAATAAGCTGTGGATTTGTAAGCATTGCTATCTTGGTCTTGTTCTTTAGCAAGCAGATGCTTGTTTAACAGCCACTGTTAGTATAATTGTTAGGCAATGACATATTAAAAGAACTTCTGGTAGTCTGGTGTGTTTTGGGAATACAGATTGAGCAAGGGTATGAATAAAAGATCCTGTGGATATGAGAGGAGGTACAATGAAATGTTAGTGTACTGCTAACAGTTTTTCTGTAAGCCAAAGGTAATTTTAAAAAGGTTTTAAGCAAATGCAGTGGTTCTTCATTGGGTGTGGGACGAGGGAGGGCAATATTTGGAGAGACTTGGATAGACGAGGAGGCGAGGAGTTTGCTACTGGCATCTAGTAGCCCAAGGCATGGATGTTGGACAACATGCCACAATGTACATGACAGCATAGCCCCCTGCAGCAAAAAAATGGGGCCCGAAAATGGGACTAGTGCTGAGGTTGGGAAACCCTGGGTTAGAGAAGAGATTGAGAAGACCTGTTAGGTAGCTCTAGAGGTAGTCTGTTTGGGTTGTAGATTAGGAATGGAGAGAATTTGAAAAAAGCAATAAGATCAAGTAGAGATTTATGCGATCAAGTGAAAAAATAGGAACACTTGGTTTGGGATGATCTCCACTTTCTAGCTTTGGTGGCCACGTAGGGTGTAAAAGGTATCACTCACTGAAGGTGACCTGATTTAAAGTTTGGTGAGAGAAATGGGATGGTGATCAGTTCTCCTTCTTTTCAGATGTGTATGTACACATTTGATTTTTCAAAGCAGAATAATGTTTAGGAACAGTCAAGTATAAAAAGTTGAGTTTATCAAAATGATGTCATTTTCACCTGAAACAAAGGCCATTTGGTTTTGGGGGAAATGTATAAATGCCCAATTGTTAAGATAGTACATTTTATGCAAAACAATACATCTATGCTTAAATATCGGCATATTTTACAGTTTCCCAAGTGAACGATCGTTTCATTTAAATACCAAAATCTCATGACATAGTTTCATTATTCATCGTATCTTTTAAGTTGTCAAAGTTTGAAGTTTGATCTCTGTTTTACTGATCTAAAATGTTAAACCTTCTCGACCCAGAGGGTTCAAGCTTAAAAATGCCGATTTGTACCACTTAATCTCAAGGGGGTGGGAACATAAGCTCACTGCTTCTTCCATATCATTTCTTTCTAGGATGGATATACATACCTTCTTCTCCTTTCTTCCTACTCAGTTCTTTGTTATAGAGGTCACTCTCTTCCCTTGCTTTCTATTACCTTGGGAAAAATCTCTCCTTCCCCATTCTTCTTTAGTGCAACCCAAATGGCCAAATTGTAACTGATTTTGCATAAACTAAAATCAAAACTGTTGCTATTGAGTCCATTTTGACTCATAGTGACCCTATAGGACAAAGTAGAATTACCCCTTAGGGTTTCAAGTCTGTAAATCTTCACAGAGGCAGACAGCCTCATTCTCCTCAGATGGGACTAATGGATCTGACCACCTTGCTTGGCAGAGTGCTTTAAGTACTGTGCCATCAGAGGACCTTTGATTATTCATGGCCTTTGAAAATAGCTCTGAAATATCCCTTGGTCCCAGTTTACATACCCCTAGTTTTCCTATCACAGTTGTCATTAGGTGCCCTCAAGTAGTATGCAAAACAGCGCCAAGTTCTGTGCCACCTTCACGGCCATCACTGTGTTTGAGCACCTTGTTGCAGACACTTTGTCAGTCCATCTTGTTGAGGGGCTTCCTCGTTTCTGGTGACCCTCTGCTTTTCCAACCATGCTGTCCTTCCCCTGGGACCGACCTCTCCCGACAACATGCCCAAAGTACACGAGACAAAGTCTCCCCATCTTCACTTCTAAGGCACAATCTGGCTGTACTTTTCCAAGACATGTGTCTTTGTTCTTCCGGCAGTCCATGGTGTATTTATTCTTTGCCACCAGATAATTAAAATGTATCTCTTCCTATCCAATCTTCCGTGTTAATTGTCCAACTTCCACTTGCTAGTGAGATGATTGAAAATGCTTTGGATTGAGTCAGGCACACCTTAGTCTTTAAAGTGACATTTTTCCTTGAACGGTTTAAATAAGTCTTGTAGCAGATGTGCCCAATGTAATATGCTTTTTAATTTACAATTTTTGTTTCCCTGACCATTAATTGTGGATCTGAGTAAAAGGGAGGATTTTTGAAAGCTTCAAACTTCCCTGTGCTTATTACGATGTTGCTTTTTGGTCCAGATGTGAGGATCTTGTTTTATGTTCAGATGTAATCCATACTCAAGACTTTGTTCTTCATTAGAAATGCTGCCAGTCCTCTTCACTTTCAGTAAGTGAGGTTGTGCATCTGCTCTACAGGCTGTTAATGAGTCTTTCTCCAAACTAAAGGGGGCATTATGCATAGAGTCCCGCGTCTTGGATTATTTGCTCAGCATACTAATTGGAGAACTATGGGGGCAAGATACAACCTTGATGCACAGTTTTCCCGATTAGAAACTCAGGTACCCCATCTGTTCAAATGGCTGGCTATTGGTCTATGCACAAGTTTCTCTTGAGCACTGTCAACTATTCTGGAATTCCATTTCTTCACAGTGTTTTCTGTAACTTGTGAGGATCCACACAATTGAATATCTTTGCATAGTCACCAAAGCACAGAGTCAACATCAATCTGGTATTCTTTGCTTTCAGTGAAGATACATCTGACACCAGCCATGATAATCCCTTGTGTTCCATGTGCTATTCTGAATCCAGTTTGAATTTCTAGCAGTTCCCAACTTATGTTTTGGTGCTATGTGCCAACAAGTCAGTTCCAACTCATAGTGACCCTCTGTAAAATAGAAGGAAACATTGCCTGGTCCAGCACTGCCCTTACAATGGTTGCTGTGTTTGAGCCCATTGTTGCAGCCATGGTGTCATTCCATCTCTTTGATGGTTCACTGACTGACCTTCTGGTTCACCAGGCATGATATCCTCTGCTAGGAATGGCGCTCTCTTGATAGTGTCCAAGTCTCTCCATCTTTGCTTCTGAGGAATATTCTGTCTGTACCACTTCTAGGACAAATTTGTTTATTGCCCTGTCAGTGCATGGTCTATTCCATATTTTCATCAACACTGTTAATTCAAATGTATCAAATTATTTTTCGGTCTTCCTTATTCATTGTCCAGCTTTCAGATGCATATGAGATGATTGAAAACACCATGGTTTGGGTCAAGTGAACCTTAGTCCTGAAAATGTCATCTGTGCTCTTCAATAGTCTAAAGAGATCATGCATATTTTCCTAATGCAATATATTCTCTGTAAGGCTATAAATCTCTACAGAAGCAGACAGCAGCATCTTTCTCCCTTGGAGTAGCTGGTGGGCTCAAACCACCAGTCTTTCTGATAGTAGATAAACACTTAACGACTGCACCACCAGTTTGTGGGTGTTGTTTTTTGTTTTCATGGAACATAACAGTTAATTGGCCTAATAACATGTTTGGAGCTTCTGCTCTACCTCCTAGTTCATAGTGCTGAGGTCTAAATTGTAAGAGCCCACCTGGGGTACAATAATTGGTCTCGAGTCTCCTAGAACAACAAAGGAGGAAGGAGAATGAGGAGTAGGCAGAGGGAAATGTGTGACTAATTGCCTCTATGAACAACTACTGCTTTACCATAAGACCAGAACAACTGATGGTGTCCAGCTACCATTACTGACCATCGTGATCAAGGATTCCATAGAATCCTGACCAAAAAGAGGGAAATGTGAAATCGAATTTCAAATTATCATGGACTGCCATCTTCCTGGAGCCATGAAGATTAGTAAACCCCTGACACCATTGTGTAATATTTAAACCTTAAACCAAAATTATCCCCTGAAGTCTTTTAATACTCAAACAGTAGTTTGGCTAAACTAGTTTAAAATGTCTGCCTTGTGAGCATTATGCCCTTTTAAGAACTATCTGTATGAGATTAAATTGTCAATAGCAACTAGAAAAAAGAGGTAAGATTGTTAGGAACAGTGCATTAATGTCCGTGGGGAGGGACAACTATGAGAAATGTGAGAATGATTCCATAACTCAATGAATGTAATAAATATCATTGAAAGGTACATGTAGACACTTTAATTGGTGTGTGTTTTGCTGTGTATACTCTCAACAACAAATACATTTATTAGAAAACAATCTCTTTGTATTTGGCATTAAAATGAGCTTCCATTCTATGATGGAAATATGCATGGATGTTATGCCCTGGACTGACAGGCTTTACTGCTTCACTGCACTCTCACACGTCTGCTTGGATGGTTGGAGTAGGAAACTAGAAGAGAAAACTAGAAAATTTTCTGGAAAGAAATTATTACCTGATGATAAGCTTAGTTCTTAAAAATATGACTTTGCCATTCAAGTTCTGCCTTTCTTACTAGATGAGTAAACTAAAGGAAAGTTACTTATAACAGCCTCAGTTTCCCAATCTGTCAGAGGAGGGGGGGGACCCTTTCCTGTAGGATCATCGGGATAAAATTAGCTTTTACACTAACAAGCATGGTTGTTTGGCTGGTTAACAGTAAATTAATATGTCCTTACTCCTTTAATGAGGAAACTTGATTCTGTAAAGCTGTAGAAGGGTAAAGTAGAAATTCAAAGGGGCTTCTAAATGTTTGTGGGAAAATGGAATTAAAAGGTAATGGTATTTTCTCACCAACTTTTTAGCCCCCTCATGTATATCCCATGTGATTTTTTTTAATGTGAAATTGCCCATGAGAGTAAACATCCATTACTAACTATAGCTCTGTTTATAGGAAACCTCGCTAATTCCTCAGACTTGTTAGTTACCACTGTGTCTCTTCATTGTTGTTTGTCTTTTTCTAGGTGATCACTGGAGGTCACTATGATGTAGATTGTCGATTAGAAGATCCTGATGGTAACGTGTTATACAAGGAGATGAAGAAACAGTATGATAGTTTTACCTTCACAGCCACCAAAAATGGGACATACAAATTTTGCTTCAGCAATGAGTTTTCTACTTTTACACACAAAACCGTATATTTTGATTTTCAAGTTGGAGAAGATCCACCTTTGTTTCCTAGTGAGAATCGAGTCAGTGCTCTTACACAGGTAAATATGACATCAGTAGTATAATGTTGGAGGGTTAAAGGAAAAAGATTTTATCATGCATGAATTCACTGATGACCATGGGATTGTCTTGAAATCTATTCTCTATTACTCTCAATCTGGTAGAGTAAGCATTTTGCAGTGAATTTCAGATTTTTATAGTGAAAATCAATGGTAAAGGACTTCGTGAACGTGTAGTAAGAAGCCTTAAATAGAATATCATTAAAGTAGAAGCATCAATAGGCAAAGGAAATTTAGGAAGGCTAATTAGTTACAAGTCAATCATTGAAAAACTTTTTCTGTAATTTGTGAAGGAATATTGCTGCCTTACTATAACCTCTATAACAGTGGTTCTCCACCTTCCTAATGCTGTGACCCTTTAATACAGTTCTTCATGTTATGGTGACCCCCCAATCATAAAATTATTTTCATAACTGTAATTTTGCTACTGTTATGCATCGGGTGGCCCCTGTGAACGGGTCATTTGACCCCCAAAGGGGTCGCGACCCACTGGTTGAGAGCCACTGCTCCATAACCTTGTGGAGAGGAGAAAGAATCACGTCATCATCAGCCCAGGCTAATCCTATGAGAAAGAGGTCAGGCATACCTCCACTCTCCATGCCCTATGACTTCAGCCATCCCACAGCACTCTTATTTCACTGTTGAGTTTGGTAATCCATCGGAATGACCACATAGAACTCATTGACCATGGTTACAACTTAGTGGTTTATTAAGGAGGCACCTGGGTACAACTAAGCATCTGTATCAGGAAGCAAGTAGGCAAAGTCTGGAGCACATCCCCTCCCTACTTCAGTGTAGGACAGTTCTTATAAGTCCTTTGTCATGCAAGCATGTAGGCCCTTCTATCAAGCTTACCCCTTGAGAACAAGCTCCTCCCTTTTGACCTGTGCCCTGCTTGATCAAGTGTTACTAAGCTTTTTTACTAAGTTTTACCAGTGAGTTCTCAAAGGCACCCCACTCTGCCAGCCAGCTTCTGCATAAAGGTGCTCAACTTTCTCACTGTGGGGGTTGGAAGGCCCTCTGTAGCCACCTTGCCCTGTGGTCTGGGAAGCCCATCACCATCTTGCACCAATCACCTGGTTCTGCTTCTGCCATTTCCCTACCACACTTATTCCTGCTGCTTTTCCCACCTAGCACCTTCGTAGCTCTATTAGTCAGTCTTCTGGGTCTAGGAGGTTCTCAGGGCAGGAGCCCTGGATCCAAAAGACATGCTCCAATCCTAGCTCTGCTTCATGATATTAGGTGAAGTCCTTTGGGGTTGGTTCATTTTAAGCCTAGCAGGATGGCAAACTGAACAATCCCTTCATTATGGTCCCATATTCCTAATTTGCTTGGTTCTTCCAATACCAGGCTTCTGTGCACTTCATTTATAGTATTAGGCTATCCAATCCTTATGGAGACCTATAAGTCCCTTATTTGCATCATTCTACTCATTCCTTCTATGGATATCACAGTGCCATAGCTAGCAGCTCAAAACGCGTCATTGAGTTGTTTCCAACATGTAAGGCAGGATAAGAACTACCTCTGGGTTTCTGAGCTGGTAGATCTTTACAGGAAGAGAAAGCCTCATCTTTCTATAGAACAGCTTGTGGTTTGAAACTGCTGACCCCTGTGCTTAGCAGCCCTAATGAATAATCCACTACTCCACCAGGACTTCCCATAGTAGAAAGGCCATATCAAAGTAGCATATTGCACCACACCTACCATAGAAGACTGGTTTTAACTGGAAGCAAAGATTTTGCCTTAATTTATATATGTAAATATACTGCAAATTAGTCTTAATACCAGTATTTAGTGCTATTCAAGATACTGTTTTAACAACATATGCCTTAAGGTAGACTATCGAAGATTAATTGCTAATGATCTAATAAAGATAGTTGAAGTTAAATCAGGTCTTATTTTGTGGAAGTCTTTGAAAAAAACTTAAAGTCAGTGCTCACATGATAAGAGCTACTTTATTTCTAGTTCAAGTACAATATGAGCTGTTATATTTAAAAGATTTCATAAGACATCAAAAATAATTTATCATCTGCCTCTTAAAATCTTGAACTTGTGTTTGTTTTAAAATTTCCTCTTGTCTTTTGGCTGAGTCATGTGGTTTTCCAGGACTAGGATGTATAACTCATTCCACTCTGTCATCGGTTGATGCCAATGCATAGCAACCCTATAGGACAGGGTAGAACTGTGAGCTTCTGAGACTGTAACTGTTTTCCAGAGTAGAAAGCTCTGTCTTTCTCCCATAGAGTGGGACCTTGTAGATTGCAGCCCAACTCAACCACTATGCCACCAGGGTTTTAAGAGCCTTTTTAATAAGTGTTTGTAAGGTGTGTTCAGATGCTCTTTCATTTAGAAATATTCTGTTTATTTTAGGATCTTGTGAGAAAGCCTTTGCTTTGTAGAATGCTTTTTGTCCGAGGCCACTGTCTTATATGTATTCCTTCATGAATTGTAACTTTTTTAAGGCTGTAAAAAGGATTCAGTCGGCACACATGACCATGTGTGTGTCTTCTGACAAAGTCCTTAGATCTACCAGTTTACAAAAATGCAGTAATAGAGGAACCCCATAGAGAATATACCAGTGAGAAATATTACACAACAAATGACCTTTCTTCAACAAGTTAGTAGCAAAGAAGGAAGAGAACATAAAGATTAAAGAAATGATAATCAGCTAAGTGATTCTGTTGACCTTGTGTAAATTCTGATTTTGGAAACAACTTTGGAGACATGGAGAAATTTGAATATTAACTCTAACAGCTGACATTAAGGAATTTAAAAATTATTTTAGGTGTGATAGTGCTGTTGGGGTTATGATTTTTGAGTGTTCTCTTTCAGAAATAAATAAATAAATACATAAATAGACCCGAAATGATAAAATATCTGGGATTTGTTTTAATATAACTAGTGGCAAGGAAAATAGATGGAGAATAATATATGAAAGCTTCAAAAACCTTATAGAAAAATTAATCTTTTCCCACATACTTTTTGATGTTCCTTATAGAAGAAACAAAATTAAACCAAAAATCAAGCCTGTTGCTTTTAAGTTGATTACAGCTCCTGATGGCACTGTATGCCCAGAGAGGAGCTCCACAGGAAGACTTCTTGACTTTGATCTCACAGAAACAGATTGCCGTCCTTCCTGACGTGCTGCTGCTGGCTGGGTTCAAGCAACCGGCCTTTGGGTTGGAATCCAGTCAGTGCTCACCATTTGCACCTCCCAGGGACTTGAAACAAGATTTAGCCATAAGGTGGAACCTGTTGATATCAGAGTTCATTGTGCTCTGAGTACATATGAGTACTTTAACTTTAAAAGAACTGAAGTATCATATCTCAAAAACTGTATGAATCTCAAATTTCGGTTGATTTGTATCTACTGTACTCCATTAATTCTTGGCCTATATATCCCAGGGAGAGGTTTCAAGGAGACTTAAACATTCTGAAAATAACAGGCCAGTCACTAGTCCTGCCTCCTAACAAAACAAAGGCAGCGTATTCCCAAGTGGGATTATAAACACAGTCAAAGACGTTAAATTTACAACACGTATTTGCAGGGAATTGAATTCAATTCATCTTGAGTACATTGACTGGGAATGGCACCTGGGTCTCCCAAATGGAAGGGGAGAACTTTATTATTGGCCCGTGTTGTTCGCTGCTCTGGAGTAATTTCCAGCTCGGGGTGACCCTGCATGTGAGAGGAAAACTGTGAGCCTAGATTTTCAGTGGCTGGGTTATTGGACAGGTTTCCAGCCCTCTCTGGTGGACTCAACCTTTGAACCTTTTTGTTATCAAATGAACCTACTAACGATTTTACACTTCGTAGGCCCCATTGCCAGGTTAACTCCTGGATAAGGGAATGAGATAGTTTAATATATCAATTAGTAGATCAGCTTAGTAGAATGTAAATCAAAAGATGAATTTACTAGATAGATTGTACCAAAAGTATTAAGGTGACCATTAAGGAAGCTAACCAAGTGTTTTTCTTTAGATGGAATCTGCCTGTGTTTCAATTCATGAAGCGCTGAAGTCTGTCATCGACTATCAGACTCATTTCCGACTGAGAGAAGCTCAAGGCCGAAGCCGAGCAGAAGATCTAAATACAAGAGTGGCCTATTGGTCAGTAGGAGAAGCCCTCATTCTTTTGGTGGTTAGCATAGGGCAGGTGTTTCTTCTGAAAAGCTTTTTCTCAGATAAAAGAACCACCACAACTCGTGTTGGATCATAACTACATTTTGAGAATTGATGCACTATTGCCACTGTAATATTGCTGTCCTCTAGTTGATTTTAAATACCCAAGAACTTAATATTGGCAACATTTTAAAAATCTTACTCATATACTTGTTGGGGATACATATAATGTGCATCCCTAAACTGTGGAAAGGACACCTTTTTGTTTGTTTGTTTGTTTGTTTTGTAAAGGTGGAAAAAATTTGGAATTTATTTTGGGGTATTCGTGTTAAATATTCAACACCAACGATCTACTCTTTTTTGGTTGTTTATATTTACTCTTCTCACAACAAAATACTAAACGTTGATATTTTTATTTCCTTTTAACCATTTAAAACTACTTTTTCTTATAAGTAATTGATATTTTAAAAACCTTAGATTTCTAGACTATGTGTGTTGCGGAGGAAGAAAATTGCCCTTTGTTTTTAGTAAATAAAGTTTTTTGTTTTAAGAAAACCAAATGACTAACTATAGCTCAGTCCCTGTTCTGTACTGTTTAATTTTGGGGGAAGGAAGAAAAATAAAGTCTACCATGGAAATGTTAGTGAATATTCTAATTTTAAATTGATATATCATAGTGTAATTTATTTCTCATAGCTTAGAAAGTGTCAGAATTTTGTCTGGAGGTATATTTCATGATTTGTAACTAGATGTTATTTTTTCATAAAGGCATTCTTACCACACTGAATAACAGTATGTTTCATTAGCATATGACAGTTTACACAGGCCTTAAAAATCAGACTGTTAACCAGGTAAACTATTACAGCATAATTTAAGACACTACAATGGGGGCAAATGAAATTCTTGACACATTATTATATTTCCATACCTTTACAAAGGATTAAAAATGGTCTGTTTCATTTAACATTTAATTGGCTGGTTCTTATCCACATGTGGCTTTAATGTTTTTGAGTCATTCCCAGCTTAAATTGGCAGCTGTAATACTAGTTTCTCGCTGGTGCCATACATTTTATCCTAATGGGTGTCATGCACTGAGAAGTGAGGTTTTTGTTTTTGCCTTGCACGTGAAGTTCCTATAATCTGGTTATAGCCGTAAAAGGATTTAAAATTTTAGAATGCTTGTTTATGTGTATTTTTTATTTGGTAATTTTCATTGATTGTATTGCATTAAATGAGTATTAAATAATGCATATTCTGTATACCGTAAGGTTTAGACTGTGTTTATAACTTGTATAGATTGAGCCAATTGAAATAAGATTTTATTCTAAGTACTAGAATAGAATACACTATGATCCAAAATTGTATAAATTTTTTAGACATTTTTGATGCTAAAAAAAAATGCAATTGTTTTTCTGCCACGCCCCATTTCCCAATTCTAAGAATGAGTGCTGAACAAAACTGTCATATTGTAGTGACTCTGACATGTAGTTCCACATAATGCTGATTGGGTAGCAATTCTGATCACTTAGCCACTACTAACCAAAAGTTGACACGTAATTGTAGTCATTCTTAAAGTACCCTTGCATATTTCTGCACATAAGCGCCAAATTCATTGGGGTTGTCGTGCTTGCTAATTACAGATACCATGGTGTAATAAAGGGTTAAGATAACATTTTGGAAGACCAAGTAGCTATTCCTTAACAATAGCTATCAATGGGTTAAGAACTAAAATTTAGGATTTTACCTATTCATCTATTCAGGTTTCTGTATTGGAGTTGTTGAGTGGCCTCTAAGTATTCCCCAATATTTAGATTGGAAAGTTTTCATCAGTAATGGTGACCCAACTAAAAGGTGTGGACCTTTTTTTCAGGCTGCTTGTCTGCTCTCTTGTGGTCAAACACTAATATTGCACCGTAATTAAGCTGGTATTACTGTTTCAAGTTTGGCAGATAATATAGTCATTTAATCCATGTCTCATAAAACTTCATTGTACTAGCTTATTACCATGAATACTTTTTGACGAAATATTGAAATATATTAAGAAATTTTCAAATCACCATTGTCATTACCTATTGTAAATAGTGTGGCCGTAGTCTGTATGTAACTGGTTAAATTTTGATGGCTGTGTGTATTCAATTGAGTGTGTATATATAAATTAGGAAATACATATCCATTTGGACATAAATATTAATTAAGAACAGGTTATTTTTCTTCCTCCTGTAATTTGTAGCTCTTATTTCTTTAATTCTGGCATAATTTATTATAACAGTTTGATTTTCCATATATTTGTGTTTGGGCATATAGTTCAGAATACATATTTAAACATCATAGCTATATATACATATTTTTAAGTCAAATAAATAATGAAAGAGACTTGATATACAAGTTTATACTAAAATTTCAACTGTGAAGATACATTTTAAGAAATTAACTGTTAGTAATCTAATTTTGTTTTCTTTTTAAGAAACAAATGGTTTCTGGTTCACAGCTTTTATTCAGGCTTGACTTTGAAAATATAGTGAACAAAAATGAGTTTTATTCCTGAAAAGCTATAATTTAAATTGCTGTACTGCCCATTTTTGTTTCAGTTTGTAATTGTGTAACAATTATAGTTAACTAGGATAAATCAGACTCTATGAGTATGTTTTGAAAATTAAATTAACATGATTAATTAATGGGGCTTTTCATTTATTTTGAAAACAAAAAAAGAAATTTCTCTAAACTGAACGAATGTTGGTGTTACACAATCAATTTCTGTAGGACTAAAAAAAATTCAGCAAACGGACTACACGTATTTCCGTCAGGACTTACATCTTTTCGGGCTCCTTTTGAACTTGGGACGCAAAGTATAGTTCTGTAGCAAGAAAGAGTGATTATTTATATGGCACTTTTATATTTTAGAGACCAAGAAGAAAAGCTACAGAAGGTAAATACTTCCTCCACATTGCCTCATTCTGCATACACCCACCTTCTCCCCTCCCCCCAAAAGAAAATTTGTGGTTTGAGTGAAAGCCTACAAAGAAAATTAGTTTCCCATACAATTTGTACACATTTTGTTTTGTGACAGTAGTTGCAATCCCTGTAATGTAACAGCACTCTCTCGTCCTTCCGTTTGTCGTCCTCTCTTGCCCCTCTCGCCTGTGAGCTGTGTTTTTGAGCAAATGTAAGGGTTTTTTATGCGGCGAATTGTTCCTGACAGGTATTACTGTTCACTGCAGGCCTGTTTGACGGAATGGTGTTCTCTGAGAGTGGGTTCAGTTCCAGGTTTGAAGGGGGCCTACGGGCCATAGTCTCAGGGTTTCCACCAGTCTCTATATCCAACCAGTAAGTCTGGTCTCTTAGATTTTGAATTTTGTCTCCATTTTTCTCCTCCTCTGCTCAGGACCTCTTTTTTTGTGATCCTGAAAGAACGATAGAGCAGCAGCTGTTAGTTCTGCTCGTAGACAACACTGCCTATTTTAACCACCTCGCTTCATTTCTTATTGAAAGTTTGAGGGTGGAAAGCAAATTTATTTATAACTCTTCTATTTTCCAGATTATGCCTAGAAATTCTCTTTTTTCTAATTAGTATAGCTACACTAATACAGTAGCACTTAATATATTATTTTCAAGAGTTTTATTTTAAATTTTTTTAGTTGTCGCAAATTATATTTATAGTCCTTTATTTTAATCCTATAGGTTTATAGTCCTTTTTCTCTACTTATTAATTTTTTAATAAGTTCTTTAAATTCCTTTTTTTTTAATTTCATTTTGGCCTCTACTAATGTAGGTGTTTTGTATTTTCGTTTTTAACAGTTTTATTGGCATATAATTCAATATACAACTCAATAGTGAAATCACATTAAAAGTTGTGGCCTCATCACTATAATCAATTTATGAACATTTTCTTTTTGTCCATACTGTTATTTGCTCCCCACCCTCACCCCCTATACACTCAAGAAACCATTATTCCAGTTACTATCTCTATAGATTTACACCAAAAAAAATGTCAGTATGTATTTCTTGTATTTTAAAATCTAAGCTTTCCCGTTTTCCTCCTGGAGAGTGCAGTGGCCTTAGAACACTTTTAACTCCACTTCCCTCCCACCTTATATTTTATCTCTCTTTAAATATTGTCAATAGTTGCTATTTAAATAGTTAATAATAATTTGGAAATGTATACATACTTGCCTCCTTTGTTCTCTCTTGGCTATTCCTTTGGAGTCTATCTGGAAATTTTTTCTTCTGCCTCAAGAATCCTTTTAGTGCAAGTCAGCTTTCTTAATATCTTTTTGGATGCAAGTAATGTTAATACAATGTTTTTTGAAATAATAATAGCAAAAAATTGTGTAGTTGTGCATGCTGTTGTACTATATTCTTCACTTGTGTTATAATACATTTACTAGTTTTCTATTTTAGATGAACTAAAGCACAAGGCAGTTAAAGTGACCGGCCCAGAGTCACATATTGGGTCACACATTGAACTGGTGTTCAAACGCAGTACGACAGGGTAGGCATGTGACATAAACATGACATAGGAAACTGCTTAACCTAAGTTCTAGACAGAGACTGCTGGTGAAGAATGTTGACCCAGTTTTATCAAATCTGATTTCTGAAGAGACATACTTATGAGAAACCTGATTTTTAAAATGCTAGCTCATTTTAGCCATCCTAATAATGTATGCTGGCTGATACCTTGTGGTCTTAGTTTGCATCTGTGCCATGACCATCTTTTTACAAGATTTGCCACTAATATCTTACTGAAATGTCTGTTAAAATCTTTTGTCCATTTTTTAATCTCTTTGTTCAGTTTTGAGATGCAGATAGATAGACATGTATGTTGTGTGCTGTCATTTCCAATGCTTAGCAATCTTAACAGTACAGAGTTGAACTGCCCATAGGTTTCCCTAGGCTGTAATCTCTCTGAAAGCAGACCACCAGATCTATTCTGCATAGGTCCTATTCTGCACTGACCTTTCATTTAGCAGCTGAACGCTAGATCACTGTACTACTAGAGCTCCTTGTTAGATGGTATTGAAACATTGCCTAGTCCTGTGACATCCTCACAATTGTTTTTATGTTTAAGCTCTTAGGCGCACGCATGTTTGTGCATGTTTATGTGTGTTTACATGGTATGTGTGCATGTGTAAGTCCTTTATCAAATCCATTTGATTAGCTTTCTTCCCGGTAGATGGTTTATCTTTTTATCCTCTTAATTGTCTTTTTTTCTTTTTAAAAATCATTTTATTGGGGGCTTGTACAACTTTTATCACAATGCATCCATCCATCCACTGT